TTTAATAATACCTCCTTAGGTTCACGTAAATACTCGCTCTAGGTCTCCTTGCTGGTGCCGGAAATGAGTATTCGGTTTGGTCATCTGACTAGGGACAGTTACATGAGTTATACGCCCAGTTTTTACGAAAGCCTCCCTCACGCGAAAATAACAGTTGCTTTCACTGCTGGACTGCCTGCTTCGACAGTAACGTATCTTTGCATTGGAAACATACCCTGTGCAAAAAGCCAAATTTTTTTCTCTGTAAGTTAGAAATCACTTTATTCGATAATCATCATTTCGAATGTTTAAGGAGAATCCGCATCCCAGATGTGTCTATAGGTAAAGAGGAAGACGTCATTTCGATCAGCGGAAGTCTGCAAGTCTGCCTCACTATCAACTAATTCACGTGGAAATTATCGGTGGTATGTGCACTTTGTGGAGCGCGTGTTGAACGCCGTCGGTTGTGTTTGAAGAACAGTCAAGGAAATTTATACTTGGAATGAATCACGTTAGAGATTACCCTTTGAGGTTAAATAGACACAGTACACGGAAATAGACAACATGCCTTGTGTTCACGCTAGTAAAATCAGAAACAGTCCAAGTGGTGCTTGGTAATTCACTGATTTCAAGCAAGTACACACACTCGCATTCATGCGGCAATTGTGCGAGATATTATCTTCCTTTTGCTATTCTGGACGTTCTCGAAGAAGATGAGTGCTCTTCAACGTGCATTACCTTGACAAACATCGATATTGATAACTGTACAACTGATAACCTAACTTTAAAACCTATCTAAAGATGCTCATTAACGTGTATGCAGTGAAGCAGGCGTGAGATAAATCTGCCTTACTCTTTGTTCACAAAACTACCATGCCCAAATAAAAAGACGAAAACGAATGGGCACAATTTCTGTCAAGGGGCAGTCAGCTCGTCTACAACCGAAAGCGGAGAATTCCGGTTTAACAGTCACCAGCCATTGGCTGCACCACTACAAGATGGCCCAGGATGGATACGTGAGCGTGAAGCAAGCTGGCGTTCCATCCATGAGAGGCTGCGGGCAGAGTATGTGGCAGGCTTATTAGCGGACTACTACACCCACAATTCATCTTTACTTACTAGGTAACAGTTCGGCCGTCGGTTCCAAACAGATCCGCCGTGTGCTCCACAGCAGGCGGGTGCAGTGACGATTACTTGCGCTGGCTTATATTGAGAGTATACTTACACGGCATCTACTTCACTCTTCCCGTGTCAGACCAGAGACGGGGGAGAACGCAGATGGCTGACGCAGCCAAAGCTGCCTCTAAGCGTGTCGCTCGAAGCCAGATGACTGAAGGCGACTGCCGTAAGGGTCACATTAAGAAGAAACCATTGCAGCCTGACTCTCCGTCCGCCATTCGGCCAGTCCCAACTAACGCAGGCAAGAGCGTTTGCGCAGTCTGAGTTATCCCTTTGGTTGACAGTCTTCCCAGCCACTGATTTCAGTGTAACCTGAGAGCTTAGAGCAGGCCAGAGTTTTCGTTATGAGGAAAATGTACTGAACCATCGACCTCACATTCTTTTCACACTTCCAGGCTTCAGACACTCTCAGATCCAGTCACTTGACTAGTGTGAAGAACGGGCTAAACTGCTGACACATCTATTGGTTTCTTCTGCGCGTATTACCACGTACACGACAGACCCGACCCTTTCCCAAATACAAGCACCATGATTTCACACATAAGGGGTTGAGCGGCTCACATGAGCGGGAGTGCCAGAGGTCAAAT